GTTAAAGACGTGATGCACTTTTTGACCAGCAGAGGGCACCAGTTGTGGGTTGTAGTTTCATAGGAAGACCCTTAGAGACTAGTGTTTGCAACGTACTGCTTGTTCTGTGTGAAACACCCTGCTTGCTGTGATAGTCTAGATTTGTTTTTTTCTGTCCAATAGTGTTCTTCCAGCTTTCCCCAAGAGCAATCTTTGGCTAGGCCTGGTTGGCAAGCTAGATGACCAGAGGAATCCTGGTCGAAGGATTAATTATAGTTGGTGTTTGGAAGCCTTAGATGCTGGCTTGTGTGTAATGTCTTAAGGTGTTCAAATGCTGTTGTTCCTTAACCAGAGGTGAAGTGAAAAGGGCATTAGACCAGGCATCTGAGGTCTGGTTCTACTCCAAGCTCGGCCCTCTGGGTAGTTTCGAGCCAGTCGCTTTCACTCTCTGTCTCAATCAGCTTATGTCTAAAATGGAGATAGTTCAGCACCATAGGAAAGGAAAAATAAGATACAACAGAGGTAATAAGATGGGGTAGTGCCTGCCCTTTGCAGTAATAGTGGGCTCTGAGGTCAGGCAGACCTGGGTTCAAATTCCAGTTTCACCATTTACTACCTATGCAGACTTGGTCAAATTATTTAACACTCAGAACCTCAGTTCCTTCACATTTGAAACAGGGATAGTAGTCTCTTCTCACAGGATTGTGAGGATTAAATGAGAAGGATACACGTGAAGTGTGGAGGATAAGGTCTGGCTTAGGGGAAATATTCACGGAGTGGCTATTATTGCTATCCAGGTTATGTTATCTTGAGTCAAAGGGGATGATGGATATGAACAAAGAGCTTTGTAAACTTAACAGTGCAACACAAATGCCATGGATGATTATACTCTAGAATCTACTCAGGGCATGGATTCTTTTGCCTTCAGAGGAAGAGTCCTGAGGGAAGCCAGGGATCCCTCTGGATAAGATGCTGTTCTGTTTATCTTTGAACTCTTTTGGGTCTCAAGTTCCTTTTCAGTTTCTGCCTGGTTTTCTGAGTGCACTCAGTGAGTGGTCCAGAATATAAGGGGATGTTTTGATGATGCAGGTGGGGTATTTTGGTAAAGGTGACCACTGAAGATGTAAAACTGGTTCCAGTAAAGACCCTGCCCTGGTTAACTTTCTTCTTACATTCAGGACCCAGGGCTCACAGAGCTACAGATGGATAACATTGGCATACACATTAGCTGCTAATGGTTACTGAGTCCTTATTACAGGCCAGGCTCTCTGTAAAGTGTGTGAAACACTTCACATTCAAACCTAATAACCCTGTTAGGTAGGTACTATTATTATCATTTTTTTACAGGTGAGAAAATCGAAGTTTGTAAATTGCCTAGGGTCATGTTTCTGGTCAGTACATTTGGACCCTAATCTATCTGATTCTCATAGTGGGCTCTTTCCATTGTTCTAAGTGGTCTTTGCATCTAGCTGTGCCTAGAGTCACCTATGAAGTTTATTAAAATTCCTGCTCCTCAGGCCCTGATCCTATACGTGTCAGATGGAGCTGAACCCCACAGTGTTTTTTCATATTTATTGAGTCACAATTTACATAAAATAAAACTTGCCCATTTAAAGTGTATAATTTGGCCAGGTGCATTGGCTCACGCCTATAATCCCAGCATTTTGGGAGACTGAGGTGAGAGGATTGCCTGAGCCCATGGGTTCGAGACCGGCCTGGGCAACTTGGTGAGACCTCATCTCTACAGTAAGTCAAAAAATGAGCCAGGCGTGGTAGCACATGCCTGTAGTTCCAGCTACTTGGAAGGTTGAGGCAGAAGATCACCTGAGCCCGGCAGATTGAGGCTGCAGTGGCCATGAGCATGCCACTGCACTCCAGCCTGGGTGACAGAGTGAGACTCCAACTCCAAAAAAAAGTGTATAGTTTGATGAAATACAGTAGTTATACAGTTGTATAAGTATCATCACAGCCAAGATATGGGATATTTCCATAACCCTAAAAAGTTTTCTCTTGCCTTTTGATTCCTTGGCATCTAAAGTTTTAACCAGCTGGGCAGATGAGTTTTTTCATTTGTTTTTGAGTCGGAGTCTCACTCTGTCACCCAGGCTGGAGTGCAGTGGCATGATCACGGCTACCACAGCCTTATTGGGCTCGGGCAGTTCTTCCACCTCAGCTTTCCAAGGAGCTAGAACTACAGGCACGTGCTCTCATGCCCAGTTGATTTTTTGATTTATTATATTGATAGAAACAAGGTCTCGCTCTGTTGCCCAGGGGGTTCTTGAACTCCTGGGCTCAGTCAATCCTCTCACCTCAGCCTCCCAAAGTGTTGGGATTACAGGTGTGAGCCACCATGCCTGGCCTGGGCCGATAGTTCTGATACACATCTAGGTACAGCATCACTGTACTGTATTATAGTGACTGCACATCCTGGAGAAGGCAGATAAAGGCAAGGAGAGAAGAAAAAAGGGCACTTGGAAGAATAATTGACCCACCTGTCTCTAGGTAAACTATATCATATTGGCTCCCTGTGCGGAGATGAAGTATTAAAAAAGAAATTTCTACACAAAACCCAGCTTTAACAAATTTTCTCCTCCCAATATGGTTTCTTCCTAAGTCACCTAAGAGCTGAAGGATTCTGAACAAAGTTGGTGTAGATAACTGAATAAATTGCTTTGGTGTGGACACTGGGACCACTAGGTACTTTTGGTGAGCTGTGGAAGAAGTCTGGGGTATGGGAAGGGGAGCTGGAAAAGAGGGGCTAAAACCTTATTGCTGAGCATTCTGAGGATGGGACCGTTTTCTCCAGGTAGACACCACTTTGGCTTCTTTGGTTCTTCTCTACTGCAAGAATCCAGTAGTGGCTGTCCTTACTCTGAAGTTCAGCCAGGAAAATTCGCCTAGAGCAAGCAGGTCCTGGATATAGCCCAGAAAACACTTGGCTAATAAGGTAGAAAACGTCAAAAGTAGCTCTGAAACTAGAGAAGGTTGGGGTAGAACTTTGTGCCAGGAATCCAGAAACTTTGCTTCTTGGTTCGGCTCTGCCCCTGGTTTTGCTAGATGACCTTTCTTTTCTAAACGGTCTTCTCTGAATGTGCTCTATTCCGCCTATCTCTCATAAGTAGTGAGTGGTGAATAAAGTGTGCAGGTAGTAGTAGAAGGGTTTTGCCACATGTCTTGTAGTAACATTGGTCAGCTTGGCAAAAGTAGTTTGCAAAGGAAATTCTGCAAGATTTTTATGCTGGCTCTTAATCATTGTATTTTGAAACTTGAATATGTGCAGCCCTTTGCTGACTCTTTTTTTCTTCTCTCTGGTTTGTTAGATGTGGCATTTCCTCCCTTTCCTGTATGGTAAATACGTGAATGTGGGTATGTACAAAGAAGTCACCTCTTTCTTATGTCCCGTTTATGAATCACCCGGTTGTCTTCCTGGTGGGTGTCTGCATTCTGGCATGGATTCTGAGAATCAGTTTCCTTATTTGTGATGTTCAACTTCTTGTGGTCCCTGTGATTGCCCTCAAGAGGAAATATCTGGAGCGGAGCCACAAGTCTGATTAGAGGCGGAAAGGACATAGAGGGAGAAAGATATGAGGGGTATTGTGGCAAAAGGAAGAAGTGAAGATACAGGGCTGAAGGGTGTAAATAAATTTCCTAGGCCTCTTCTCCCTTGAGTGAGTTTGGGTAATGGCCTTATTCAAGAGGACACTGAGGTGTCAGGGAAGGTAATCTTTGAGAATAATGCCCTAGCTGGTTTGGGTTCAGAAGGCTATATAAAGTTTTAGTTACTTTTAGTTTCCGTTACCTTAAATGTTCCTTCCTCCCCTCTGTGGTTTCACAGTTTTGTAGTAGTAAAGAAATTTAACGGATCAGAATTAGGACGATGACAATAAATTTACTCATATATATCATGTTATTCTTCCTGAAACCCCCTACAAAACATTGGAGTCTAGTAAATATATCTTCTTAAACAATACAGTTTACTTTGAGAAGAAAAACGGGTCACTTAAAACATTTTAAAATCATATGATTTTGGAGCTGACGGGGATTCTAGAGACTGTCTGGTCTGACCCTATCTTGTGAATGAGTGGCTGAACATGAGGTCCAGAGTGGGGAAAAGACTACTTAGGAGAGTCACTCGGCCAGTGAGTGCTGGTGTGGATCCTGAAAAGCCCAGGTGTAATACCGAGGGGTCCCAGAATAGAGGTGCTCCTATTTGATTTTTCTTAGGTATTAGGGAGCTTCTGAGTCAGTTTTTGTGGCTATATGCCTCAATTACCTTGGGTTAGACTCTTGGATGTGTCTAGGAGACCCAGACTGGCCCCCTAGATTATGTTTTAGTTTGGGAGACTAGATATTAAGTGTGAGATTGTTGCTATTTTGGAGGTGATTGGCTGTTGTTGGTGTGATTAGGAAGGTTTAATGAAGACATGGGATTTGACTGGCCTCTCAGAAAGACTCAAGGACTGGCATTGGAAGGTATTCCAGGCAGGGAGAATTAAATTAGTCTAAATTGAAGCCCAGCAGCTAGAGATTACAGGGTGTGATATATCTTTGGCTGGAGATGGAGTTTCAGTGGGAGAGATCCTCGTTGGAGCTACAGTTTAAATCAGATTTCAATACAACAGACTTTAGGAAGATATTTTAGGATTCTACTATAAAACTGGTGGTCTTTCAGTGTGGCATAGGGCAATGGATGTCTGCAGTAAGTTGTTGTGATGAGTTTACTGTGATAGTCTTTGGCTTTTTGTAGTTAAATAGGGTTTGTTTCAGTTTCACCTATTTCTACAACCTCTCTTTTTCTAATTTCTAATTTTCCTAACTTCTCTCTGTGTTCTCAGTTTTATTAGGCTCTTTTCCCTTAACTTCTCTCTACCTGTTAAACACTCAGAGCTTCTATAGATTTTGGGAAGAGGCATTGGAGCATAAACTGTGACCCACAAGTGAATTTCCCCAGGTGGATAAACTCCACTGCAGGCCACGGAGGGGCCTCCTCATTCCAGCAATCTGGTCAGGCTGACAGACTCATAGCCTATGGGGATAGGGGAGGGTGTAGGGGCCAGTATTTCTCAGGCTAGTGAGGAACTGCTTGATTCTTTGCAGCCTAGACAGAGGAGAGGCAGGAGCCCCCGACAGGCTACTCGCCTGGGCTGGGGATGCCCGGGCAGATGCGGAGGCAGCTGGAAAGGTGGCACTGCACTTGGGTTGTTAGAGCTGCCGCTGTTCCTAGGAGACCGAGGAGCAGCGAGCCTGCGGGGGAGGGGGAGCAAGTGGGTTGCTGCTTTTAGCAGCTGAAAGGGCTGCAGGGAGCTCTGGGTAAGACATTTTCTGCTGCTGCTGCTTCTGCGGTAGAAGCTGCCGTGAGTAAGTCAGGGAAGGAGGATCGAGAGGGAGGAGGCTTCATTTGCAGCCATGCTGAATCACTGTTGCTGATCAGATCTCCCTCTGGTCTGCCGGGAGAAACGAGAACAGAGCTAGGATCTCTGGGTGTATGCATAGTTCAGCGGCTACCACCCTGGCTGGGCCTCGCACAATGGAGGGTGAAAGGTATGTACAAGTGTGTGCTGTGTCGTGTGTGTGTGTGTGTGTGTGTGTGTGTGTGTGTGTGTGTGTGTGTACGTACGTATAAGTAAACGTGTGCTTGCGATGCAGACACCAGCTTTTGTGTTTGCATTGGGTAGGGAAGGCTGGAAGACCTGGCCACTGATGGATCCCAAAGGACAGCAGAGCAAGAGCAGGAAAGCCCCTTTCCAAACCCACCCCTTCCAGGGCTCAAATCTCCAGAGATCTGGCTTCTGCAAAGGCAGGTCTGGGTTTGCTGGGCAGCGGAGCACCCCGAAGGAAGGGACTTCCTGGCTGGGGTTCGGGAATAGTTTCAGCACAGGCTGAATCAGGATTGCCTTTCTCCGGCTGGTTCAAGGAGGCGTTTCCCTTTCCTGGCTACTTTCCCGGGGTGTTTTTTCTTTGGTGGGGGGTTTTTGATGTCATAGTAGGACTGGCCTGGCATAGAGTGCTTACATTTTCACACTGAAGTGCTCAAATCTCCAGCAAGCATGGCATGCTGATGGCCGTGTGTGTGTCTCTGTGTGGGTCTATGTGTGTGTGCATGCGTGTGGCATGTGCCGCTATATACACACACACTCAGGGACGAAGGAGAAACCCAGTCAGATGACAGTTGCCCTGAACTGAATTTCATTTGTATTGAAAGTTGGTGAGTGATACTGGAAGGTCTGTGCTTTAGAAGAGCTCTTGCTTTTTCTATCAGAGATTTTTTAAAAATGAAATAGCAATCAACAGAAAGGATTTTAAGTAATTCTGTTGAGCTGGGTCTAACTAGTGAGGGTTTATTTCCTGAAAGGCACATGTATATACATTTTAAAATTATTGTTTGAGGGTCTGATTCTTTCATTGTGGAGGAGTGCAGTGTGGGGGCAGCATTCCTCTGTCTGTGAACTAAAACATCTTCTGAGTGCCAACTTCTTCATTCTGTGGGTCTGCGACTGGTAGAGAACAGGGCTTATCATTTTCTTTGAGGACAGAAGACTTCAGGGAAGGGTCATGCCATAACAGTACACCATTGAGGGGAGGGCTGCTGCTCTGAGTGGCCTGAATGATGCAGAGAGTAACCAGCTAGTTAAATGACAACAGGCTCAATTTAGTCAACACTGTTTGGAGAATACCTCGGTAAACACTTTTCTTTGCATAGATTGTCCTGATCCTACATCTCATCGGGGCAGAGTGATGCCATTAAACATCTCTAGACCATATTAGAATGGGTATGGTGGCTGGGTGTCATCTCATCCTCCTGTCTGATAAGGACCTGGGGCCTGTGTTTCTTGATGTGATTCCCACAGGAAGAGTCTGGGACTTGTAGGACTGAATGCACTGCTGGTGCAGCCTCTTTCTGGGTGCTCTGTGCAACAGGAACTTGGTGTTGAACTCCATGCAGCCCACTGGGTAACGACATCTGAAGGTCTGTTTCCTAGTTATGGGGCCGAGGTGGGCAGTACTCTCACCTCCTCATGGCCTGGAGCTAGCCGAGGGCAGGATTGATGTAATGGAGGTTTAGAGATTCTGGACCATGTTGATTTGCTTGACCTGTGCTGTATAGGGGCTGAGAGATCAGGGTGAGACTACCAGCAGCTGATCAAGCATTTCTGGGAACTATGTTCACAGTTTTATGTTCAGAAATGTAATGAGTCCCTGCCTCCGAGGAGCTCTGTTGTTCCTCAACACCCTGGCTCCTCTCAGCTGGGATGGCTGATGTTTTTGGCTTTAGAACACCTGGTTGCACATGTTCTTTTGCTTTTCCTTTCCTGAAGGCAGAGAGTAGACAAGAAATCCAAACTGAGCAGCTTCCAACGTTCACCAGGCCACCCAGCTAACTACCTTTTGTTCCTAGTCCAAGCCCAGCTTGCCATGCCAAGCCTTCAAGTCTTCTGAGCTCTGACTCCTGTCTCCATTCCCACTGCTCACACACCCTCTGAGTGTGCTGTTGGTCATTTCCGTGATCATTCATCCTGGACATTACTCCATCCAGCCTTATATTCCTTGACTCCCAGAGTGCCTTTGGCTGAATACCTTTCCCTTCCTTTTTTCCAAAAGTTTTCTTTCAAGATTGCTTTAAAATTTCACTTTGTCTCGGAAAAACATCAGCTTTTCTAGTCTTGGCTGATGCTCTTCTGAATTCTAATACCTCTAGCTTGTATCTCATAGTTGGGTACTGAATAGTAGGGCCACCAGATTTTTTTGTGCTTTGTTTCATATACCTTATGAATCCCTAAACTTAGAGACAGGTCCTCAACGGCAAGAACAGTGTCTTGTACTTCTGAATGCTCCTCATTGACTGCTATGTGGGTACACAAATAGCAGTTGCTGGCGGGTTATTTGCTGATTAACCAATCACTTTTGTGAGAAACTCTGACAACTAAGAAAGTTGGTGAGAGAGGAGATTGAAACATTTGGCAAATAGGTTCATCTTTGGCTATCAGCCTTATTATCTCAGCACCGGTAATTGACCCCACGGAATGCTTTGAGGTAGGAGGAGAACAGAGCAAAGTAGCCTTGTTTTACAAGTTCCCTGGGAAACCAAGGACCAGAGAAACCGACTGACTGGCCTAGGATCACATGTCCAACCTCCAAAGCCTGGAGGGATCCTGAATCTGGTGCTTGTTCCACACTTAACCTGCTGAAGCTTAACTGGGGCTGTTTTTAAGCATGAAAGTTTTTTAGCCAAGGGATTTCTAATGAACAATTTTCTTTCTTTGCCATGAGGGTATGAAAATACTTTATTCCTTGAAAAGCTACTAATTAAAAGCATGGACTTTGGTGTAACTTAGACCTAGTAGTGAATCTACTTTACAAATCGTATGACCTTGAATATGTCATGTTTTTTTCAGAACTAATTTTTCTCTTCTGTGTAAACACAGTAATAACACTATCCATATTTCATAGAGTTATTGAGAAGATTAAATAAGGCAGTATGTGTAAAGCACCTAGTAAAGTTTTTTTGGACACAGAGTAAGTATTCAGTAGATTAAGGTAGTTGATTTTATCACTGGTATCCATCTGTTGCTGTGTTGTACCGTGTGCCTTGCTGCTGGGATACTAACCGAGGCATATTTTGGGCCTTTCTATGTTTATAATTCCAAAGCAGGTTATGTGATATCATTCCCATGAGAAAACTGGGAGAGATGATCAGGCTGTCATCTTGCTTCTGACTTATAACTGTCTCCTTGGTAAGATACCTCACAGGGTTTGATATTTCCTCTTTTAGGTTTCTCCAAGATCTAGTGTAGCCCTTTGCACTCAGATGTCCCCTCTGAGGGGACATCATAAATCTAGCAAACTGCTTGGATGCCTCCTCTCAGGGGTCATAAAGAGATTACTGATGGATTATATAGCACAAACTTGTGCCAGTGCAAATTTTTCAAAAATGTATGTTTCCTTGAAGTTTTCCATTCAAATTTGCATGAAAAAGCAAATAAAAAGATGGACTGTATACTGAGATACATGTAAAAAAAATCATCTGGCTTTACATAGAAGGGGAATGTATGAAGTGCTTTCACAGTGGTGCACAGATTGGACAATAAATTACATATTGTTAATGTGGGAGGAAGAGAATGAGACTGCATTGTCTGCTCGAATAGAAAAACACCAGTGAAAGATGTCAAACAAGTTACAATTGCACAACATGTATCAGTGAACCAGAATGCATGTCGGTGACGATTTCACACATTATCACCTTAGAAAAATATAAGATATAAAATTTTGATTTTTTTTGTCATAAATAAGTTCCTCAATGTCCAAAATTCCATTCAAATATCATTACAATAAAATAGTTTGTTCCAACACTATACTATTTAATATGAAGTGATTAGTTTTTCACTATTTTGTAGAAAAGTGTGGCCGAGAAGCTGGTAAGTGATCCATGAGATGTCTGTTAGTGCAAAGGGTTAATTTTCCTTTTACATAGACACCCTGTGGCATCTGGTTGCCTTAGTGGTTTGGAACCATGAGTTGGATACACCTTTGCCCAGGCCAAAATCTTAAAAAGAATCTGTGAATTTGTACCCACTGTTGCTGTGTCCCCCAAGATTTCCATCTCTCTGCTGGATCTTCTGATGCTATGTATTTCCCAGGTCCCTCCATGGGAGAATTACTGTGGCTTTATCAGTCAGAGGAAGGTGAGTTTGTTTTCTGTTTTGCAGAGGAAAAGGGTCTCTGGCTCTTAGCTACTCCAGTGGTAAATTGTGTCTGTGAAAGTTGTAGAGCAGCTGACATTGAAAATGACAATTGCCCTTGCTATTGAGATTTTATTTCAGTTCTGGAATCAGCCTTGTGGATGGATTAAAATAAAGTTTCAACCTAAATGATTAGTTAAATTCATAGAGACAGAAAGTAGAGGGGTTTCCAGGGGCTAGAGAAAGGGAGGAATGAGAAGTTATTGTTTCATTAGTATGGAGTTTCAGTTTGGGAAGATGAAAGAGTTTTGGGGATTCATGGTGGTGACAGTTGTACATCAGCGTGAATGTACACAATGCCACTGAACTGTGCATTTAAAAATGGTTAATTTTATGTTACATATGTCTTACCACAATAAAAACACAACAAAACAAAACAAAAACCAGGCTCAGACTTTGGAAGATCTGCAAGAATTATTACCACAACTTTTGGAAGAAACATCATAAAAAGGGGTGGTTGTCTATTTTTCTCAAAATTGTGGTCATTTTCCTCATCAGAAGCATAGGAATGCCCCTGCCTGAGAGGGCACCTCATACCTAGCACTATGCTGTGAATTTGTAGGAGGTGTGCTCAGAGGAAGGTTCTCTCTTTTTTTTTGTGTGTGTTGGAGTTTCACTCTGTCGACCTGTTAGGCTCAGGTGATCCTTCTACCTCAGCCTTCCAAGTAGCTGGAGCTGCAGGCACGTACCACTATGCCTGGCTAATTTTTTTTTTTGGGGGGGGGTTTATTGTAGAGATGAGGTCTCGCCAAGTTGCCCAGGCTGGTCTCAAACCCTTGGGCTCAGGCATTCCTCTCACCTCAG